GCGGGGAGAAATCTTATGAAATTCAACAAGGGCAAGTGCAGAGTTTTGCACCTGGGAAAGAACAACCCCATGTGCCAGTATAGGTTGAGGACTGAACTGTTGGAGAGCAGTGTAGGAGAAAGGGACCTGGGGGTTCTGGTGGACAGCAGGATGGCCATGAGCCAGCAATGTGCCCTCGTGGCCAAGAAGGCCAATGGCATCCTGGGGTGTATTAGAAGGGGAGTAGCTGGTAGGTCGAGAGAGGTCCTCCTGCCTCTCTACTCTGCCCTGGTGAGGCCACATCTGGAATATTGTGTCCAGTTGTGGGCCCCTCAGCTCAAGAGAGACAGGGAACTGCTTGAGAGAGTCCAGCACAGAGCCACAAAGATGATGGAGTGGAACATCTCCCTTATGAGGAGAGGCTGAAGGAGCTGGATCTCTTTAGCTTGGAGAAGAGGAGGCTGAGGGGTGACCTCATAAATGTTTATAAATATGTCAAGGGGGAGTGTCAGGAGGACGGAGCCAGGCTCTTTTCAGCGATGTCCAATGACAGGACAAGGGGCAATGGGTACAAGCTTGAACATAGGAGATTCCACAAAAATATTAGAAAAAACTTTTTGACTGTGAGGGTGACAGAGCTGTGGAACAGGCTGCCCAGGGAGGTTGTGGAGTCTCCTTCTCTGGAGACATTCAAAATCTGCCTGGACACGTTCCTGTGTGACCTACTGTAGGGGATCCTGCTCTGGCAGGGGGGCTGGACGAGATGATCTTTTGAGGTCCCTTCCAACCCCTGACATTCTGCGATTCTGTGAAGAATCTATGATTCTGTGGTTATGGGTGCCAAGGTGCACATGCCTGCCTCTCAAAGCCCTGTGCTTCCCAAAGCTCTTTGGCAACCCTCACCTCGCTCTCCCAAACCGCAGGAGCAATCCTCGCAGCATGGTTCGTTGTTTGTACCATGGGTTGATGCTTGCCCACCACCAGACCTCAGTTCAAAAAGCCGTGTTCAGAGGACTTGTGCAGATGGAAGGTGCTAACTGATCGTCTTTTCAGGTCCTACTGCCATTCTGTGTAAGATTCTGTGTCTGTACTTTGTACATTTGCTGCAGAATCTCAAAACTGATAATGAATCTATTTCTAATCGAAATTACATTTTTATTCAAGTCTTCTATCTGTAAGTCTCCTGTAAATGCCATGTATAGAAATTGTTTATTGTTTTAAATAAGATAGATGCGTTATGTATTTTTTGTGCTGGATAGAAACTATTTTGGTTTTGTGAAGGAAAACGGTTTTAAAAACTATTTCTCTCTTTGTAGAAAATCAGTGGATATTTTAGTAATTATCTTCGAAAAATGTACTAATACTACATTTCAAAGCATATAAAACAGATAAGATTGTAATACTGCTATATTAAAATGTTCTTTGGTAATTAATAGCCTTTATATACTTTGTATTTACGTTTTTTGTAGATAAAAGCAGTTTGTAATTCATTGCAGAGATTAAGTTCAAGTTGTCTATATGGAAATACAGAATAATATATTTAATAATAAACATGTAGAAAATATTTGCTCTTAATGTGGACTGCTGCAATCTGGTTGAGGGGCAGTTTTTGTGTTTTCAGTGAGTGGTGATGTGTCATTTTTTAATAGTGTGAAAAATGTTCCTTTCTGTGTTTTGGGTAATATTTTTTCCCCTGGCAAGGACAGTGTTCTAAGATAGGTGCTGCTCCCAAAAGCCTGCCTAGATGGCAGTATCCACTCACGTAACCTCTGCTCAAAGGATGGCGGCTGTTTAAAGTGAGTGTTCTGGAGAAATGACATATAGTTCTAAATTGGACAGGGAGGTGTATGCTCTTACATACAAATAACTGCCTCTTATTAAATTCCTTGATAATGAAATTCAAAGACAAGTCATATTTTCTGGTTTTTAACCACTTAGGTCTCTTAATTAGATTAATTAGATTAGGCAGAAAGCGTGTGGAGGAATATTCTCATATTTAACCTGACTGCTTCACTCTAACTGACTCATTCTAAAGCAAAAATTGTGTCAGTACTCTTTGCTGATAGTCCAGAGAATTAGTAATGTATCTAGTCATGCTCATTTAACACTAATTGCTGGAAATACTTACGGTACATAGTTTAATACTGGGCTCTGATATTGGAATTCAAGGAAGACGTACACAACCTTCCTGGGATCTCAGATTTATTAGCTGCAGATGAAAGACTTTTACACTCTTCCATCATCCAGCTCAGTTAAGACCATAGTGCCATAACAACGGCGTCGTAATAAACAGTGCATCAATTAATAAAAAATGGATTTAAGTGTTTAGAGGCATTCTCCCTCGTGAAAGTGCACGTGTTTATAAGAGGATTAGCCATTAGCCAGTAGTACGTTCTCACTGCAGTAGCCAGGAGGCTTGACACAATGACCTTCCGCTCCTGCGGTCTGATAATCAATTCTAAGTTCATGAATCTTTTCAGGCAGCTCTCTTGCTCATGTAGCTAAAAAATGGTGTTCCCGGTGCACTGGTGTATTGCAGAAGCTCTGTTCTGGCCACATAACTTCAGAGGCAGCAACTGAAAGGAATCCATTCAGCAAGCTGGCAGAGATTGTTATCACAGCAGCTCATGGGGTTCAGTGAGCATTCTATGTTCATAACAAAATACGCTGACACAGGATGTAAGCTCTGCCAGATTTCAGTAGACCCAAAATAAGGATGCAATTCTTTTGTAGCTCTTTTGCTGCGAGCTATCTGCTCTGCAAGATACGTGCTTGCTAAATATGGGAGACGTACATCTGACTTCAGTATAAACACGATTTTAGAACTTGTTTTGGTTGCTTATGCTCTGACATCGAGTACCGTTTGAGACATCCTGGGATATCCTGCATGGTCTCCATGTCTCCAGCTTCTGCTTCCATAGGGCCTATGTGATATTTGCCAACGCCGTGTGTACCTTGGGTGCTTGAGGGCACTTCAAATGGCACTAGTTGCCTGCTTTCAGGCATCTAAATGGAGCCCTTTGTTTTCTGGGGCTTGGATGGCTGATGTCTGACTATTTTTCTCTGAGCCTGCATAAAATGCTACCGCTGAGATTGGTGCATGCCTCAGTTTTCAAAACAAATTGCTCAAATCCCCAGTAAGTACATAAGGTGGGATACATGACATGTGTGTGTGAAAGGAAGGATTGTCTCCTGGGTGACAGGCTGATGCTGAACTGGGCAGTTAGTTCCCTGAGGTGAATAATTTAGAGCAAAACCCCAGCTTTATAAATGTGCCCCGGCTGGAGTTGGTTGCTGTAACTCAGAAGCTTTCTGATGTATGTCAGAAGATAAGATGTGGGCAGGACCTGGTTCAAATTCAGCAACGCCATGAGCAACAGTGGTGAGTTAACGGGAGATGAGAGAGCTGCCGTCCCCTTGCTTCCTGCAGGACCTGCACATGGGATTTGGCTCAGGACTAAGCTACCTAAACTTAAGTGTCGAGATAT